TTTGGTCGTCCCTCACTAACCCCCCTGCCGGCCTGGTCACCCCACACAGCCTGCTATTCAGTTGTTTGGCTGTCCCTCACTAACCCCCTGCCGGCCTGGTTGCCCCATGCAGCCTGCTGTTCAGTCGTTTGGTCGTCCCTCACTAACCCCCCTGCCAGCCTGGTTGCCCCACGCAGCCTGCTTGTTCAGTTGTTTGGTCATCTCTCACTAACCCCCCTGCCAGCCTGGTCGTAGGCAGCCATCTTGTGAGGGCGTGAGGATTAATTTGCATATTACCTCTTTATTATATAGGGATATAAATGTTTACAAAGGTTAACATTTAAGAACAAGAAAAAATAGCTTTAAATATTAAAATGGCATGAATCAAAACATACTGCATAAAACGTTTGGAGATTGTAATTCTGAAAATTGCTTTCTTACAGGAAACGTTTCCTGACCACTACTCCTTAACCCAAATTCATTTTCTTGACTCTGAGTCCTATCCAATCTTACTCAACTGCACTTGGTTCCTACCATTAAAATGTAAACTCCTAAGGATAAGAAAATTGGTTACAGTTGAATCCCAGCATACTGCTTGACACAAAATAGATTCTCTGTCAATTTTTACAGATTAGACAAAAATGATATTAGATAGCAATCAAACATTCAGGAACGTTCAGACTGTATATATTTATGGTAGTGGTGATCACAAAGACATGTTTGGGGGAATACTGAAAGAGTGTATGGTTTAAAGGAGACGGAGCATCCTAGGTATCACAATCAATGGTATAGAAGTGGGAATATTTGTATTTAGAAAACAAAAAGGACACTTAGGCTGCAACAGGATACTCCCATAGGAGAAACAAGCTTGGAGAAGATAACAGGTACCAAGCTGTCAAGGATCATGAAAAGTAGCTGAAGAGTTTAGGCCTTCATCCTTTAGGCCTTTAATAAGAAGATTCAAATTTCCCAGTAGATCTCCCAGCTGGATGTCACTACCTATATACTTCTTTCTTATTAGCACCAATAGGGAAGAGAATGACATCTCTTCTGTCAATCAAACTTTGTAAGCACAGCCCTTGCTCCACTCCCCACACCTTACCAAGGGAAAAGGACATCCCTGTTTACTAGCATCGGTGAGTGAGCCCCTTGAGGATCTCAAAGCTTAAGTCGAAGTTAAAGGAGCTTCCCACATACCTGGATGGTAAACAGTAGAGACCATTTATGATTTCTGAAGCTTAGGGAGGAAGATTAATTTTGTAACCCACTGCCAGTGAACTAAGTGGGGGTGAAATGGAAGGTAGGCACAGAGACAGACTAAGTGGAAGGAGATCTAGAAGGCAGTTTCAATAGTGCAGGCAGCCTGAACCAGGGTTGCTACATCAGGAAGCAAGAGGAAGGGTTGAATGTAAGAATCATCAGGGTTAGGGTAAAGAGATGGGAAAAAACTCCAGTATGCCTTCAAGGTTTCATGAAGACTCACCAGCAAAATGAGAGTGACATTAATTGAAACAGAAATATTTTTTTTCTTTTTCTTTTTTTATTAAATCTTTATTGTTCAGATTATTACCTTGGTTCCTCTTTTTTCCCACCATACCTCCCCTCCACCCAGTTCCCACCCCACCCTCTGAAACAGAAATATTTTAACAGGGATCTTATTTTAAAGGAATGATAATGACTTTAGCAGCAAATCAGGAAAGATGGCATCTAGTATCCACATTTACATGTTCATCTCTGCATGATTAAACAGAGAAAACTGTTCATGAATTTACTTTCCCACATATTGCTAACAGCTTTCCATTCCATCCAAATAATTTTAGATTTCTAATAATGAAATATGGACTCTTTACCAATGCCAGTCGTTGAGTTTGGGGCTCTTCCATTCTTTTTATTTCCTTTCCACTGTCAGAAGATAACTTTCCAACACTGTCCACACTGGGGTTAAAGAAACAGGATAGTGTTTCCTCCACATTTTCCTGCCTAGTTATATCATAATTTGATAATCGAAGTAAAAGGAAAGTAAGCTGCAACAACAACCAACAGAGTCAAGACTACCTCCCCAGGCCATCCTTTCCAAGTCAGATTTGCTTCTGGAAGGACTCTTGCATCTAGAAAATAATGTTTTTCAAGTACACTGAAATAAAAACAAAGAAAAGTAAAGCCAGAAGTGAATTCCCACTGATTAGGGAACATTCCTTCAATTTCACATGCCAAGGATCTTTACATTTGGAGTGATAATTATTTAATCCCATTGCTTTCTAAATATTATTATTTAAAAAATAATTCAGAACAGTGTTTTTTAAAGTATTCCATTGCTTTTTTTAAAAAATTACTTATTTTGGAGCAATGTCCTCATACACCAAGGTTACAGGTTCAATCCTCAGTCAGGGCACATACCAGAAACCACCGATCAATGCATAAATAAGTGAAACAACAAATTGATGTTTTTCACGCGCTCTCTCTCTCTCTCTCCCCTTCCTCCCCTTTCTCTCTCAAATCAATACAAAATTTTAAATAAATAAATGCTAAAAATTACTTATTTTTATGTTATTTTTTATATATAGACAGGACATCCTCCACTGGGAAGCACAGCAAATTTCTATTTCAAGTAAGATGTCACATCAAGGTTGGTTTCTCTTTTACAAGGAACTGTCTTTTAAAAAATGCTTATTTAATCCATTTCCCCTAGGAGTTTTCAGGAACATAAAACCTGCACAATGCTGAGCCAGGCATCACCAACAAAACATCCTTGTGAACCTCCATTAAGTGAACAAGTCCAGCAAGTGAGAGGACAAGGATGGCAGAGAAAAGAAAAGGAGAAGCAGTGTTAACTGAAGAAAGCTTTAAAAGTGCTGAATCCCGTCCTCTGTTGTTGACAAATCTAGTTTCTTTTTCCTCTTTTGACCCTGATTTTTATCTGAGCCCCTTAAATAAAAAATGTAGATGTAATTCCTCCCAAACTTGAAAA